AAAAAAGTAAAACGGTTTGTTTTGCTCGTGTATATGTTCGTGCTGAAAAAGAAAATAACACGTTGTCACGCTCCATACAATAAAATACTCGGGGTTAATGATTTATCATACGATGTCAAGGCTTATCTTGTTTAAAATTGGTAAGTGCTTTTGAGAACTTTATTTAATTGAAAAATTGTTAATATAAAAGCAATTTAAGTCGTGTGGTAAATTGTTTCAAAAGGAATTGAAACAATTTCTTTAAATATTTTGTAATTTATGATGTAAAAAGTAGTACAAAAGCATTATGTGTTTTACTGTATACCAGCGATTCCCAATTTATTTTCGGCTGTGATGGAATCTTAAATGATCAATCTTCTTTCAGCGGAGCCTGACATTCAATAAAGTGAATGGAAACAATTGTGTACGCATTAAATAAAAGACTACTGATTCTTTTAAAACATATTACTCGAAAAAAAATTATTTTTTATCACTTTCATTTGTCATTAATAAGCTTAAAATAAGGTTTTGCTCCTGCCAGTTGAATTAGCTGGCCTGAAGCGTCATCTATAGTATGTATAGTTCTGAATTTGATTGTGGTGTTTGCTTCATGAGAAAATGAATATAATAAGTTGGTTTGTTTTTTGTTGAAATGAGGAGGAAAAATAAAAATGATAAATGGTGAAAATGGTTAATAAGGAAACATTTCTTTATTGGGAATTTTATTATGATTTGAAAAGCGCGATGAGAAATACTAATATATTTTTTTATAAATGCACGATAATAGATCTGCAAACTTTTTCTATTTCTTTTTTCACTGGTATTTTATTCTAGATAATTTCATAAAAAAACAATCTGACCAGGAGAATTCCACAGCGATGGATTGGTTAATACGAATTCCGCACCCGGCTCGCACTGACAGCAATGCTGACGTAAAATTTCTTCAATGGTAGACGGATCATGGGTTAAAGTCCCCTTGCCATCAGACTAACCGTGGGTTTCCTCTTCATGTAAAGCAAATGCGAGGTAGTTCCATCAAAAAGTCCTCCACGAAGCTTATATCCATTTCTACATCTAGCTCCTTAATAAGTAATTTACAATACAAACAAATCTATCTATAGCGGATTTTTCTTTTTTGCTCATAAGACATTTTTGTTTATTCCACAATAGTCAAAGTACAATATAAGCATTCATCTGTTGAAGAGAAATATTTTTTCTCTGTTTGTCTATTCAACATCTGATAGTACAAATAAAAATTAGATTGATAAAGCTGCATTTGAACTACTTGCAATATTTTAGAGTGTGGATCAGAACACGTGATGTGCAATCCAATTAAAAACACTCAGTCTTTCCTGAATTACTGGAAATGATAACTACAAACATTTTCACCTCCAGCCGTGCTGGCTCAAGGAATAGAGCGTTCGCCTTCCAATGAGGTGAACCGGGTTCGAATCACAGCAATGGCTGGTTGATACGAATTCCGCACCCGGGTCGTACTGAGTGCGAGCTTGGGTAAAATATTCTCAGTGGTAGACGCATCATGGGTTAGAGTCCCCTGACCGTCCGGCTAACTATGGGAGGTTTTCCTCTCCATGCAACGCAAATGCGGGTTAGTCCCATCAAAATGTCCTCCACGAAAGTTAATTTCTTCCAATACTTGATTTAGCAGTTCCCTTGTCTTCAGGATTGGGCTCAAAATTACAAGGCTACGGAATTCAACATTAGTAATAATAAACCCAAAATTAGCTCGGCTATTCAACGACTGTTATAATATAAAAAGTATGTTTTACTCGCAAGCTCGCAAAAAAAAGACAAAAAAAAAGAAAAAACATGCACCTGAAATTGACGCATTTATGTTCCACCCAAAATTTGCTTCATTAAAATTTTTTTCTTTATTTTTCAATGAACGATTAACATATTTCCAGTTCTTACACAATACTTCACGCTGAGAAGGCAATGTTTTCCTTCTTCAAATCAATGATTGACCTTTCGTTACTTCAATCATCCTTTAGAAAACATCTTTGGCAGCAGTTTTTCTTCTTTCCGTGATTCTGATTTAATGGGATGTAGTATTCAAATTTATTACCTCCTCACAACGTCACCAACCGCGTCAAGACCTTAACATCTAGTAATGAGATTGTTTTATAAAGCAAGAGAATAAATCAACAGTGCTGGGTATTGAAGAACTTTATATGGTCATATCGCGTTCCAGATCATTTAATTCCATATAAATTATTCGTCGTCAGAGAAGATATTTATGGCCTGTTTTTATTTCTCACATCATGGTGAAGTTATCTTAGTGAAAGGAAATAATTTCTTAGAATGTGTCTAAAATAAATGTTTTGTTTGTCTGGGTAGAGAGAAAAAAAATGGCTTAAGTCTTTGACCACAGGAATAAATTATTCTTAATCCTTTTATTGAATTTAGTTCGAATTTGATTTTTGTAATTCTTTTTTCACATAAAATATGGTTATTTTAATCCTTTTTTCATAGTAAAATCTGGTTATTTTAATCCTTTTTTCATAGTAAAATCTGGTTGTTTCAATACAGTTCTTAATTGGTAGCACTATGAGGGTTATTTTAGGAAGAATATTGCAAGCTATGGTTATTGTGATACTGCGAAAATCGATTTTGAAGGGACTTAAGAAGAGAACGAAACATGCGAGAGGTTTTGCGCTGTTGCGTAGCATCCCGCTTGTGTAGGTAAGTAGGTTCCGCCAAAATTTCTGGGAACGGTGATTGTTCTGATATAAGTAAGATACGCAAAGTTATATACGAGAACGTAAGGAAATACTACAAGAAACTGCTAAATCTCTCTAATAATTTAAATCTTCTTCAGGAATTCACACTATGCATTTTGTTACATATAACATTATACATTCCTGACTCCCAAAATATGGGAGTAGCTACAATCGGAAAAATAGGGTCCTAAATGCTTAGAGAACTGTCAAAAGTTAGGGCCCCTTAATGTTAATTTCACTTTTTGCGTATTCCGCCTACTTAAAGTTGTCAGTTTTTTAAAATTTTTATTTCTAAATAAATATTTGGCCAATTTCCTTCAAATTTTAGATTACGTCATTTAAAATTATAGATTAAATTGGTGCAAAAATTTGCATACTTCACGATTCACATTTTTTTCAATCATTAGTAAATTACAAAAAAAATGAATATTATTATTATTTTTTTTACAGGGAATCTTTGGTGCTTAAAAATATCTTAGTTTGCTTCATTTGTTCCGGATAGAATGGCGTCACACGTAAAAAAGTGTAATAAGAGGCCTAAGCTTTATACCTATCTACTGCTTAAACTATTGGAACCATATTTTCCAAAATTAGGCTACTTCCTTAATTTTGAAGATCAAGAATCGAATTTCGTTGGGGAAAAGACATATTTATTCCGAGAAAATACAATAATTCTTAACTTAAAATATCATCTGCACTAATCAATTAGCATATTTAAGGTTAGGGCTCAGATACATTTAGAATGAGACTCAGTACGCGAAAATCCGATCATTAGATCACAAGTTATTAAGGTGTTCGATTTTTCATTTTGCACACTACACTATTTTACCATCAATGAATATACCAACGAAGGCAATACGTGAACCACTCGTGGTTACATAAAGTTCGGCGAAAATTTGAATTATGATTTGTTAAAATCGAAAATTTGATTTATGACTTGTTTTCTTTTAATCACTCGGTTAAAATTTAATTGCTTAAATGATTTTTTTCCAGTATTACAAAGATAATTTCAAAATAATATGTGACAAAGAAAAACAGCCTTTAGTTCCGGTTTACTTCAACTACTTTGATAAATGGTAATTACAACCTCAGAACTAGTATTTTAATATAAATATGCAGGGTACAACGAGAAAACAAAGCTAGTTTTCTAATCAAAACAGCTGCAAATGACCCTTATTTTACTCTGCATAATTAGTCAGAATCTGAAAGAATTAAGTATCTGGAAAGAATATGAACATTTTCCTTCTACTCTACCAGTGTCCCGTTAAAAAACAAAGAGTATCTCATTTGTTATTCACTAAACGTTGTCTGATTAATTAACCCTTTTTAACAACTGTCTTTTGGTAAATTGTCTTTTACACAGACCCAACCGGTTTTTCTTTATTTCATTCAATAGAAAATTTTTTGCTGTTTTATTGTTTTAAAAACTGTGGTGTTTTCCAGCAAGTAGTACTAGACGTGCGAGTCAAATTTGTAATATTCCCTGCCTTTCGTAAATAGTGGGGGAAATTACTGTGAGGATTACAAAATAGTGGTTTTAATGCAAGGATTTTCTTCCTGTCACGGAAGCGGGTACCTATTTTTTCCATGTTAACTTATGGTAAATTATTAAATAATTAATATTTTTATTCCTATTTTGTTTCATTGCATTCATTTAACTACCATACTTTAAGGCAGTAAAAATAGCTTGAACTTGAAACTTAAAACTTGTGCTTTGTACAACTTAGAACTTTGAAGAAGTTTTAAAAATACTTGCAACTCTGAAATTTAAGTAATTAGGTCCAATCGAGCATGTTTTAATTAATAAAAAGAATTAAAAAAATAAATAGTTTTTTAATTAATAGGAAAATATCGAGCATGTAAGTCTCAGTAAGTTAAAATGTAAAAAGTGGAAAGCCTTTTTAATTTGAAGAAACCTGTAAATGGCTGGAATTATTTGGTATATTCCTCTCGCTTTGCTTGCTTGGAAGAAAAGATAATTTTAACAAATATAAATCTGAATACAAATATAAAGCTATAGCTCAAAAAACAAATTTATAATTATTGAAAAAAAAAAGAATTTGTATTACATAAAATTCTAAGACTAAAGCTTTAGATCCTGAGACAAAGAGGATATTTGCCTAATCTATTAAAAACAAATAACTCTTTTTATTATTACAATAGAAAGAACTATTATTATTTACAAACTCAGATGCTTGGGTAAAAGAGTATAGTGGTTATAATAAATTATCTTATAATAATAATTATTTTCTTTTAAGAATTCATAACAATTGCACTTACCTTAGACAAAACAAAATATGATATATTGTATTAGCTCGTCCAAAATAAACTATAATGCTTTCTTAGACATAAACACAATAACTAATAGACACAAAACAAAGTTGGATTATCATTATAATACAGAAAATCAGAATCTCTCTTTTTTTTAAAGTTAGATTTTGCTTTTTGTTTTACCTTGACGACTTGTGGGTTGACTGATCTTTCTAAGATGGAATATCTAACGTGCTTAATTCCTTATTCAGTAGAACTTTCTATTTACTTTCTTTAATAAAACAATTTTCTTTTCCCAATAAAATACTGTAAGATTCAATTTCCGTGGTGTCATAAAACTGCAACGTTGGTTTTGGTGAGTTAATATTATTTATACATAATTCAAACAATTACTAACTTTATTAATAGAGTTATACTAATAAGCTGTATTTTTAAAGTGCCTTACAAATAATGCATAACATGGAATTATGCTTCGAAAATCTGATGGATGAAACACTTTTGTCAATGTCTGGGGGCTTCTGTGGCCGAGGGGCATTGTTCTTTCGTTTATCGGAATTACATACATTTTTAGGCTTATATGCTCAATTGAGGCTTAAAAATCTAAGAAAAACAGAAGGACAGATAGCTTGTTGTTGTTGTTGTTAATTTACGTCGCACTGGAGCTGCACAATGGGCTATTGGCGACGGTCTGGGATACATCCCGGAGGATGATCCGAAGACATGCCATCGCAATTTTGATCCTCTGCAGAGGGGATGGCACCCCCGCTTCGGTAGCCCGACGACCTGCACGCGAAGTCGAGCACTTTACGGTAGCACAGTTTAACGAGGACCAATACCGCACACCCTCGGTCCCTACTCAGACTGATCCAAGTGGTTACCCACCCGCACACTGACTGTAGCCAGTGATGCTTGACTTCGGTGATCTTCTGGGAACCGTGTCTTAATGATCAGTCCACTGCGGGACGAAGGACAGATAGCACAATACAGAGAAGAACAGCACAAAGATCCATCCAGGGTAACAGCGGGATTCGAACCCGCTACCTCCACGCTTTGCACAGCGTTTGGCGGGTAATAGCGCTCGGTCAGGCGGGCTCGAATCCCACCTTTATCCTGGATTTATCTTTGGGTGGTCCTTCTCTAAACAGTTCATTCTGTTCTTCAATTTGATGGGGGTTTATAAGTTAGGAAAAATTTTTACGTCACACTAGAGCTGCACAATGGGCCATTAGCGACGAACTGGGAATCATCCCTTAAGATGATCCGAAGACATGCCATTACCATTTTGATCTTCAACAGTGAGGATGGCTCCTCTGCTTTAGTAGCCTAACCACCTACGCGCTAAGTCGGGCACTTAAAGGTAGAACAATTTAACGAGGACCTATACCGTGCACCCTCGGTCCCTACACAGGTTGATCAATGTGGTCACCCACCCGCTTACTAACCGCAGCCAGTGATGCTTGATTTCGGTGTTCTACTGGGGAACCGTGTCTCTATGATGAGTCCACTGCAGGACAATTTCAAAAAAGAATATTCGAAAACTCACCTTTCCTATTATTTAAAAAAATATTTTTGTTAACGAATTTCTGTGAGGGATTTCTGTTCCCAGAATATTAAATTGGATAAGTAGAGCTGGGAGTTTTTGTGTATCCGTTTATCAATTTTACTACCGGGACCTGCATAATCTACTGGGAACCGTGTTTTACGACCAGTTCACTATGGAACTATTGATTTTAAAACACTCAGATTAAGCTTTAACACATTTTGAAATGATAAGTTAATTTATTAGTTTGAAGTTAAAATGATAACAGAAAACAATTATAATAAACCATAATTACTTGATCTTCTAATTTGTCCCGCAAAGAACTGATCGTATAAAGATACTGATGCTCCCAGCAGATCACCAAAGTCAAGCATCACTGGTTGTGGTCAGTAAGCGGGTGGGTAACTTTGATCAACCTACGTAGGGACCAAGGGTACGCGGTATCGGTCCTCATTAAATTGCTCGACTACCAGGGAATGCGCGACTGGTTGATAGGGCGTTGGGCCCATGTCCAAGAGATCGCGAGTTTGATCCCCGCCGTCCGAAGATTCCCCGTGTAGTAAATGGTGACTGGTGCACATTAAATCTGTCGGCTCACGAAGTTCCCAAGTTCCCATAACAAATCGATACGGGGAATTATACTGGAGATTGATAGTCCTCTGGTTTAGGTCGAAAATTACAATCTTTCAATGAATGACTGAATAGATGTATGAATGAGTTCGCCCTTTAAAACGGGCAGTGACGTGTATGTGGTTACAATTTTTTCTCAAGGTTACCATTAAATTTGGCGATCGTTTAACGTCATAAATCGAAAAAATCGTCATTAATTGACTTCAAGTTTATATTGCGTATTTACAATTAATTCTTCACAGTAGCAAGTATGATCATTTCATATTATTGCATAGTTTTTATTTGTTTATTTTTCAAATAATTTTTTGGTAATTTTTTTTCGAAACTTCGAATTTATAAAAAAAATAATTGGTATGCCAAAAAATAAATGATTATTTTACCTATTTCTGTAGCGATTTGCACGTATAATCGAAAAATATTTGTTTTTTTAAATTTAATTGAAGAGTGAAAAAAAGTCTTTATTTCTTTTGACCAAATGATTGGACTCGTTCTAAATGATTCGTCAGTTTCACTTAAAATTGCGCAAGCGATTTACGAAATCAGGTAATAAAACATTCTTTCTGAATAAACGTACTCTTTTTCTGCGAATTTGGATTAATGACCTTCAAATTATAGCCACTATCAGGAAAACATGGTTCCAATAGTTTATAATTCGTAGCTTANTCTATCAGTATCATAAGGAGATATCCCAGATTTTTGATGTGACAAATCATTATTATTCTATCAGTATCATAAGAAGATATCCCAGATTTTTGATGTGACAAATCATTATTATTCTATCAGTATCATAAGGGATATCTCAGATTTTTGATGTGACCCATGGATTATATACCTTACAAATCATTATTATTCTATCAGTATCATAAGGAGATATCTCAGATTTTTGATGTGACCCATGGATTATATAACTTACAAATAATAATTATTCTATTAGTATCATAAGGAGATATCCCAGATTTTTGATGTGACAAATCATTATTATTCTATCAGTATCATAAGGAGATATCCCAGATTTTTGATGTGACCCACGGATTATATACCTCACAAATCATTATTATTCAATCAGTATTTACTGGTAATATCAGAAATAAAAACCCTCTCATCAAATTTACCGGTTGTCCTTGAATAAGTTTTCCCAAGTTGTAACAAAGAAAAAGGATGTTCATATTTTTGTTTTGAGTAGCAATTTATATAAGATGTGAGATGAGATGGTCACGCAAGAAAGACATATAAGGTGAATGGCACAGTCATCATTTGCACTTAAATCTGGAATAAGAAAGTGGTGGAATGACTTCGTAGCCTTCAGCAGGTAATAATTACGGGCAAGGTGGAAGGGGTCAAGCAATTGGAGTAGCATTCTTCCGACTGGTCAAGGTTTATCTCACTTTCTTTTATGTAGAATATAGAATTGAGATTCTCCCAAATTATGATTCGTAATCTCTCCAATAAATTCTTATCCCAATTTGTTAAGAATTTTTTTTTCTTTATAAAAAAGAGCTCGAAAAACCTGTTTTTTAACTAAGCACAAAAAATAGTAATGCTTTTAATATTTCATCGTCTTATTTAGGCGAGATGATGTTGATTACATATAAATGAAATGCCTGGTACCAAAATACTGTAAGAGAAACAGAAAAACATCCTGACCTTTTTTTCCGCATCATTTGAATTTCGGTAAATATATTTCGCGTATTTAGGTAGGCTGATGTTAACGAGTGTTTATAGTCAAAATCATCAAAGAATTGCTTTACAAAAATATTTTAACTCTTTTAAAAAAATATTTTTGTTCAAGTTTTGCATTCAGCATTTTTACTTCAGATTTTGAAATAATACCAACAAGTGAAGCACTGTCTGCGCTAAGCACAAAATAAAACAAAGAAAACGGAGATGGGTGGGGTAAAGAGATGTTTTTGATTGGAATCGCCAAAGGTAATAGAATAAACTCAAGACTTTTAAAAAAATAAATAAACAAATAATAAATAAGTAACAAAAATAAATAAATGAAATAAATTAATAAAAATTAAAAGGCATGTTTTTAAAAAGGTGAATTGAGTGCTGCTTTTAAAAACAAAAGTAAAGCATTCTCGCAACATTCCTTTGTGGGCCAAGGGGGGAGGGCCATGGACAGTGCCGGATTAAGCGTACACGGGGGCCCTGGGCCATTCAAATTTTTGGGCCCTTTGATAAAATTTTTTTCCTCGTATGTTTTTTATTTATTAAATTATAAAAGTATTTATATATCTTTTCATTTAAGAAAGCTTATTTAAAATAAAAATAAATAATAATAAATTAAATTTTATTTTACTTTGTTAAATTAGAACTAAAAAAATAATCATAACATTTTGAAAAAATTTGAAATTTATTAACACTTTATAAAATCAACGCTACTATATCATTGTTTTTCTTAATTTTTTAAAATTTATTTTCAAAAAATCTATTTTAAGGTCTCCCCTAATCATAGGGGGCCCCAGGCCATTCATGGTCAAATGAGTAATCCAGCACTGGCCATGGATATCAAGACTGTCATGTAACGCAAATGCGGGTTAGTTTCATCAAAAAGTCCTCCACGAAAGCTAGTTTGTTCCAGCAGTTCCTTTGTCTTCTGGATTGGATTCAAAATTACATGGCTACGGAGTTGAATATTGATAGACACAAACTCAGAATTGGAGCTGCAGTTCACGCCGGTTATAAAATTATGATATAAAATAAATAACATAACTAATTATTATATTTGAAATTATTCGCAAAAAAATATAAATTGTTCTGTTCTAAGTTTGATTCGAGTCAGCTTCTGGATCTATACATGTTGCCTGCAATGTACAAATGAATAAAATAAATAACTGAATAAAAAAATAAATAAAAAATTCAGAACAAAACAAAACACAAAAAATGACACCTATACTTTTATTTTTAGTTAAATTAATCTTGACCATTTTTTAATAATTAAAATTTTGGTTTAATTTAAGACAAATTACTAAAACCGAAACGTATAAAATTATGCATGAACTCAACTGTCCAATAATATAACCTGAGTTNATCATTGTTTTTCTTAATTTTTTAAAATTTATTTTCAAAAAATCTATTTTAAGGTCTCATGAGTAATCCAGCACTGGTCATGGATATCAAGACTGTCATGTAACGCAAATGCGGGTTAGTTTCATCAAAAAGTCCTCCACGAAAGCTAGTTTGTTCCAATGCTTGATCCAGCAGTTCTTTTGTCTTCTGGATTGGATTCAAAATTATATGGCTACGGAGTTGAATATTGATAGCCA